CAGCCTCCCCAGTAGTTGGGACCAGAGGTGTGCGCCACCACACCTGGCTAATTTTTGTATTTTTGTGTGGAGACAGGTTTCCACCATGTTGCCCAGGCTGGTCTCTAACTCCTGGGCTCAAGTGATCCACAAGCCTCGGCCTCTTGAAGTGCTGGGATTACAGGAGTGACGCCGTGTGCGGCCCCTCCTGTGTCTTCTTGCAGAGAGAATCTATGTGTATACAGGGCCTGAGCATTTGGCACAAGGGGTTCTCCCATCTGCTTTGTTGAGAATCGCTGAGCTAGAGGGAGGAAGGCCCAATGGGGGCGATCTCAGGTGTATTCAAAAGGGAGAAAGGAGAATTGGGTTGGCCTTGAAGTCTCACCGTAGCAAGCCCCCACCCTCTCGGAGTCCCACACAGCCCATTAAGAAACTGTCAGGGTCTCCGTGCCTGCATTTCTGGCAGTAAAAGAACTTTCCTTTTTAATAATCCTTCTCCCAGGCCTTCAGGGAGTTTTCAGATGGATTTGCTGACTACGGGATTTTCCTGCATTTAAGTCCAATGGTTTCTTAGACTTTGATGTTGACTAGTTTAAAAAGAAAAAGGAAAAGCCGTGTACCAGAAGGAGGAAATTGGGTCCGGCTGTGTGACTTCAGTAGTCTCACTGTCTCTTTGTGCCCTGGTTTCCTCCTTTGGGAACTGAGCAGGATCATGCCTACCTCATTCTTCTCAATCTCTCGGGGGAATGGTAAGATGACAGCTCTGAAAGCACCCATTTTAGACACGAAGATATCAAGGTCCAAGTTCATGTTCTGCACAGGTGGCACTGTTCCTCTTGTGGCCACGTCCAGAGACTCAGCAGGAAAAGACCCTCTTACGGGAAGATGAGGGGGAGGAAGGAGTCCCATCTGCTGTTCTTCCGGCTGTGGTGGAGATGGCTAGCGTGTCATCACAAACCTGTGCAGCCTTCTGGGGGGTTACATCGACCTGTGCATCCAGGGGTGCTTCCAAGTTCTCACCAACGGACCGTGGGTGGGAGACCACACCAGTCCCTTCTGAGCCAGGTGTGATGAAACACACGTGGCTCCTTTGTGCACTTTCCCCTCCCTCCAGCTAGAGGCAGACATCACGAGGCCCCAGGGAATGGTGGAACCACATGGTGGAAAGAACCTAAGACCCCGCATCACCACGTGGAGGGCAGCCACCTGCCCACCGGAACACCCCCATTGGATTCATATGTGAATGAGAAACAAACTCGTATTGGCTTGTCACTGAAATGTGAGTTTATTTATTATAAGAGCTAATGTCATCCTATCACATACCCCGACTTTTCCTCATAAGTCCAGTCCTAAGCTGCTAGGATGTGCGCAGGAGGAGACATCAGCCGTTATTCCTCCCAGCAGTTACAGGGTTATCAGAAACCACTGAGGATAGGGAAGAGGGAGTAACACCTCCTCCCTGGCTCTGAGCTTGGCTCCAGCATGGCCACTAGCATTTGGGGTTTGGGGGTTGCAGCTGTCGCATTCCACAGTGGCCCTGATGGCATTACAATTACAGATGACACTTAGAGCCACCCTAGGGAAGCAAAGGCAAGGACATGCAGCTGCTGAGAGGGGGAGCAGAAGGGCTGGGGCCATAGACAGAGCCCTGGATCTGCCGTGATCCCAGTCAGCGTCCCTTCAGCCGAAGCAAGCACTTCCTAGGGCCTCCATTTCTCTGTCTGTATGAGAACCTAATTCACCTGTCCCGGATGGGGGAGGAAGGAGGGTGTGGATGGTGAGGAGTGAGAGAATGGATCTGAAACCTGATGTCACTAGGATTCCACACTGCTGTGTAATCAGAGGCCCCGAGCCCAAGCCCCTTTGCATTTTGGTGTATGCTGAGGCTTTTTCTTGGGAGGGTCTTAAAAACAATATGTTAGGGAAGAAGAAAAATCAAAGAGCATAATTCTTATTATTTTGGAATCATTGAGAAGGCTGCTGTTAGCTAAGGGCCTGGACGCAGTATCTTGGGAGCTTTGAAGGCAGCTCACAGGGCTGAATTCAGAATCTGTGGGCAACTCCCTTTACCACCAAATGTCCATTGTCAGGTGTCACAGTCGCTGACATTCCTCCATTAGGGTTTCATTCCTTTGGATTACTTTTTGTTTCTACACAAAAATGCAAGCAATGATAATCCTTAATATGAGTTCAGGGCTTTAGACTTAGCCCAATAATCCTAAAAGACACAGATAGACAGCGAGGCCCGGACACCTGGTGTGGCTACTTCTCCAACCATGCTTCTCCTGACAGAGTGATTCTGGGGTAATTCGACTCCTAGGGGTATATCTAGAAACTCTTGCACACGTGCCCCAGAGACATGGATAAAAATACTTATAGTAGCCCTATGTATAATAACAAAAATTGGCGGTAACCAATGCCCATTGATAGATGAAGGAATAATTGGATGTTTAAAAATTTGAAAATGGGCCCGGTATGGTGGCTCATGCCTGTAATCCCAGCACTTTGGGAGGCTGAGGCTGAAGTTTAAGCCCAGGAGTTTGAGACCAGCCTGGATAACATAGGGTAGAGACGGTACTTACAAAAATAATAATATATCCAGGCATGGTGGTCTGTACCTGTGGTTTCAGCTACTTGGGAAGCCGAAGTGGGAGGATTGCCTGAGGCTGGGAGGTTAAGGCTGCAGTGAGCCATGATCACACCACTGTACTCCAGCCTGGGTGGCAGAGTGAGACGCTGTCTCAAAATAAATAAATAAAAATAAAAACCTGAAAACGATTGAACCGTGTTTAAATTATGTATTGCTGGCTAACAAATCATGTTAAAACACAGTGGCAACCCCAATCATTTATTTGCTCACATTCTATAATTTAGTCAGGGGTTTACCAGGGGATAGCTTGTCTCTACTTCATGTGGCTCCACCTGGGAAGGTCCAACTGGGGCTGAGACATGGATCGACTCTCAAGATGGTCCTTGTATGGCTGGCAAATTGATGCTGACTGTTTGCTGGGAGATCTGCTGGAACTCTTAGCTAGTGGGCCTTGGTCGTCCTGCATGTGACCTCTCCACAGGACTTCTCAGAGCATGATGGTCTCAGAGTAATCAATCTTCTTACACGGGGGGCTTAAGGCCTCTGAAAATACAAAGGCACCAGGAGTTACTACACCTTCTTAAGGCTTAGGTCTGGGATGGGCACAGGGTTACTTCTGTCCCACCCTATTGGCTAAAAGAGTCACAAGCCAGAAATATTCAGGAGGAGGCAACTACAAAAGAATGTGAATGCCCAGAGGTATACCTCATTGGGTGACATTGACTTCCAAAAACCACAACCACCCAGAGCTACAGGGATACATATTAGGTTAGGTTATGCTTCAGGATCAAATAGCCTCCACATTTCAGTGACTTCACACAACAAATGGTTACTTCTTTCTTATATACATATCCCATAGAAGTTGGTGGGGCACTCTGCTCCACACATTCACTCAGGGATCCAGGCTGATGGAGGCTCCACCATGTTGTAGTGGCACCATTGCACCATCTGGGACATGAGACCTCACTTTTGCCACAACTGTGAAGGACAGAAAGGCTGGAGAATTTCACCTGGCCTCAGCTCTAAAGAGACAAATGTCACCTGTGCTCACATTTCATTGGCTAGGACTAGTCACATGACCCCATCTAAGCTGTAAGTGGGACTGGGAAATGTAGGAGAACACCTGGAAAAATGGGTGAGCATTACTGTACTGGCCACATGTGATAGAACCATTTAAAACAAAAGAAAGTTAGACATAAAATGCAAGGTAGTGTTCACTTTGGGGTAGGCGTGGAACACACAAGCAAGGGTCAGTGATTTGTAATATTCTAGTTTTTGGTTTCAGCAGTTAGTGTTAATTATTTTTTAAAACAAATGAATGAATGAATAGACAAATGAATAAACAAAAGAGAGGGCTCAGAAGCAGCAGCACTGAAGCCTAATCTCAGAGTACAGGCCAAAAATGACCCTTCAATAAACATTCACTGAGTTTCCAGCTGAAGCTGGTAGGCTTCTCTAAAGTACAAAGATGAATAAAGTATGGGCTCAGCCCCTCCAGGTTCTCAGCTCAGAGGATTCAGTAGACGCATAAACCAAGCAGGTGAGCAAAGCACAGTGGAGAGTCTTGCTCAGTGGGAGCTCTGGGAGCCAGAGGGAGCCCCAAGAAGGCCTCACCCTCAAGTCACCATGTATTGGGTCCTAAAGCATCAATAGGAGTTCAAAAGGCAGAGAATAGAGTGGAGGTGGGCAAGTGGGTCAGGGCACTCATTTCACAAATGGGAAGATTTGTGCAAAGGCACAAAGCGGCCTTCACCCCTCAGGTGGCCTGTGTTCACAGCATTTCCTCACTGCCTTTTAGTCCTTAAATGACCTGACCAACTTAATCCCTCTGTACTGCGCCACCCAGAACCTCCTGCAAGACCCAGGCGTTTGCCCCACCCAATAGCTGCCAGGAGTGAGGAGGAAGCTCTCTTGCCCGAGGTCGTGCACTCCCCTACTGCAGGGGCTGCCACATCCAAATGACCGTTTGGAAACCCAGGGTGTAAGGGCCTAGCTCTCATGCTTCAATTCAGCAAACTCTGCGGGACCATCCCAGCTGCAGGGCTCCAGGTGGGATCAGCCAAGGCCTCTCTGGGCCTCCAGCCTCCATCAGACCCCAGTTCTTCTCTCTGCCCAATTCTGTTTCTTTTATATCCAGACAAGTGTGGATTGTGAATGCGCTCCCCAATAAACTTCCTTCAAGCAAAACTCTATGCCAGTATGTGTTTTCTGGGAAAGCTACCTAAGATACCCAATAAAATATAGATAATTACTAAATTCCAGGGGATGCCTTTCCTGGGGATGTTTGTATAGCAATTATCATTATAACTAACATTCATGGAGTGATTTCTATGTGCCAGTCTAAGCACTTTGCCTTTAAGATAGTATTTAATGAAGAACAGAACCTCACAGTAAATGAATGAATTTCTTTATTCTTTTTCTTTTTTTTTTCTGTATACAGAAATTTTATTCAATTTTAAAAGAAAATGAGGACTTTAGACAAAGCTTTACCCTATAAAAAAGTAAATCTGTCCAGCTTTAAACCAAATTCTGAGAGTAGCCAACTTCTATTTTTCAGCAGCTGGCAAGAGCTCCCTCAATGAGTTCTACTGACATTTCTATTTTCATCATCCCATATGGTATAAAACAAATCCAATCTAGACTCCTTGATAAGCTTTATGTGGTCATTTGAGTTTTACAAATGGTTTCTCTATGGTATGCCAAAATCATTCATGTGTTCTCTCCAGATAGCTTTACTGTAACATACAGCAATGTTTATCCTGGTGAGTGAGTCTTCTGTAAACAGTCAACCAATGCTCTGTGTTATGGAAACCAAGCTATGTGAATTGAAACAATCCACAGGTTCTAATCTGGAAATACTAGGAAAACAATCTGGATGCATTAATCACAGCAACATGAAGATCTACCCTATAAAGAATGATGTGAATGGCTACCCTAATACAAGTTTTACTTTTCTGGAACCTATAGGCCTGTCATTTAAGTCAATGACAGCAGCTGTGGCTTCATCCCGAGACTCAAAGGCCACCATGGCTTCACCTGTGGGCATACCTTTTTCATTGTACTTTAAACACACTGAGCCTGGGATTACTTGATAGCCATAAAAGAAATATAAAATCTCATCAATAGACACAGTAAAGGGCATGTTCTGCACTTTAATTACTGTTGGTCCTGGTTTTCCAGAACTAGATACAAAGCCAGGGGGACCGCCAATATGGATTGGGCCAGGGCCAGGACCAGGGCCAGGCCCAGGCCCAAAAGCTGGTGGCCCACTCAAATGCCCAGGGGCATTTCCAAGACCCGGAGGGCCACTTCCAAAGCCAGGGGGACCGCCTAAGTTACCAGGGCCATTTCCAAAATTCTGAGGGTCCCCTCCAAATCCCGATGGCCCACCCAAGTTGTTTGGTCCACCTCCAAAACCTGGAACATCCAATCCTAGACCAGGCAAACCACTGTTTCCAACTGAAGGCATACCAGGCCTAGCATCACCAAAGGCCCCTCCTAATCCTGGAGGAGGGATTCATGGCCCAAAGGCATTTGATCCACCAAAATTACCAGGAAAGTTAAATGGAGGCCCATCGTTGGCTTCCTTTGATCCTACAGTCAGGAAGGCATGCTCTTCACCTCCTGCACTAGGTATTCCTGCACTTGGCATTCCCGCGCCAGGCAGTCCTGCACTGGGCAGTCCCACACCGGGCAGTCCCGCACTGGGCATTCCTGGAACAGCAGGATTACCTGGCACAGGCATCTTTAATCCCTTTTTTCCTTGGGCAGGGGGATTTTTCTCAATCTCTCTCATATCTTCTAGGGTAACTACATGAACAAAAGCTTCTCTCCCGTTAAGTTTTTTACGACGTAAGCGTTCAGACTTACGTGCATCATCTTCATTTTTAAACTGAACCAAAGCCTGTCCTAGACCTTGCCCTTTGTTATCAACAAGAACTTGTACAGCATTTTCATCCACTGGGATTCCTTCTAGGAACTGAGGAACATCCATCGTGGTAATGCTGAATGGAATATTTGTTATGTGGGCACAGGCTTTGGCAGAGTTGACATCACCCTCTGGATTTAGTATCATTTCCCTCTGGTCATAGCTGAAGTTCTGCAGTCTTCTTTTCTAATCATATCTATCTTTTCTAGCATACCTTTCTTAGTTATTGGATGAACTTGAATAAAGCGATTGCCCATGTACTGTTTATGATGACACAGAGCAGCCTTATAGTCAGCCTCATTTCTGAACTCTACAAAGCCTTCACCAGTTGCTTTCCCATTGTGTCCATAAGCTATATAAATGCTATCTTCCACAATATCCAGCTTTTTAAAAAAATCAATGACATGTTTGTTTTCTGCTTCAAATGGTAGCCCTTTCAAGTAAACACAAAAACCAGCCTCATGTGGTGATCTTGACCTTGATCTTTTCTGTCCACTGGGCGATTTTGACCTGGGAAGTGTCTGAGGAGGGGGTTGAGCTGGTCCAGAAGGTCCCATATTTTGCTTAAAAGTGATATGGCCCCCAGCAGCTACCCACTGTCTCTCTGTGGCAGGGCTAACTTCCACATAGCGTTGAATCATCAGCATTCGGTTTCATTTCAAAGCTTCAAATGTATCTTGAGGGGAGAGAAACTTAACCAATCCATTCCCATAATTTCGACCTACATGATCTTTCAACAAATGCACTGCATCAACACGGAGCTCATGGAAAAAATCTCTGACATCATTTTCCATTGCAGAAAAGGACATTCCATGCACACTGACACACAGATCATCAGGGTTGATGGGAAGTGGCTTCACACTGCTCTGAGAGTTCATCTGGATAGGGTTAACAGGATTTAATGGACCAAGAAACATAGGGCTCAGGTTATTATTCAAATTCATAGGTGCTCCAGAACCATTCATTCCAGCAGGTAGAGGTGCCACAGGTGGCAGATTCAAAGGTGGCATACCCGACATGGGTGGCAGTGGGGTCATGGGTGGCACGGAAGGAACTGGGGGAATCGGGGGCACAGGAGGCACAGGAGGCAATGTAGGTACTGGAGGAGGAACTGGAATTGGGGGAATGGATGGCATTGGTGGCAGAGATGGCATCGCTGGAATTGGAGGAATTGGTGGCGGCGGGACTGTGTTCATTGGAGAGGCTGTGCTTGGAACGATTGAGCTAAACATCGGGATCCCAAAGGAAGCCCCCATATTTGGAGGAGCTGTTCCTATGCTGGCTGTGGAAAATGTCTGTATGTTTTTGTTGCTTTCATGAACAGAAGTGGTGGCAGTAACTACACTGGGCGAAGGACTGTTAAAGTTGGATACTGTTGTGGGCAAGTTTACCCCACCACTCATTCCTGAGCTAGGTGGTGGTCCTGATCTACTGGCATTTGCTGGTGGTATATCTAAGTTGGCAGTTTCAAAACGCCTACGACTCAGTTCAATCATATTCTGCATTTCCGTTTTACTACTCAACAATAGTGTTACTTTTGACCCTTTAATTGTACCACCTGTGCGCATCATACCAAGCCTTGCATCTTCATCAGTGGCAAAAACGATGAAAGCCTCACCCAGTTCACCCCCTACAGTATGCACGCCCCCATCAGGAATGGTCAATCCAGAGAAGAAGTGGCGAATGTCCATGGTCCCCACCACAATTGGGAGACCTTGCAAACGGATGACCACAGCCATGCTGTGCTGAAACCACACATACTGATAAAACAAGAGATGTATTTTCTTAACAAGAAGTAGAGGCCAAGTCAATCCTGTGGGCAACCAATTAAAATCAAGTTTTAGACAGGGAAAGCTGCGCGGCACCAGAACCCAGACCCCGAATTACACCCCCGCACGAGTGCCTCTGCCCTGCGGCCGACAGCCCCAGCCCGAACGGCTGCCCGGAGCCCACCGCAGCCACCACCTCCTTCGCCGCTTCACAAAAATCTTCTTTTTCTTTTTTATATATTTTTTTGGGACAGAGTCTCGCTCTGTTGCCCAGGCTGGAGTACAGTGGTGCGATCTTAGCTCACTGCAACCTCCACTTCCTAGGTTCAAGCAATTCTTCTGCCTCAGCCTCCCAGGTAGCTGGAATTACATGCGTGTGCCACCATGCCCAGCTAATTTTTGTATTTTTAGCAGAGAGGGGGGTTTCATTATGTTGGTCAGGCTGGTCTCGAACTCCTGACCTCAAATTATCTACCAGCCTCAGACTCCCAAAGTGCTGGGATTGCAGGTGTGAGCCACTGTTCCAGGCTTATTTATTTATTTATTTTTTGAGATGGAGTTTTCCTTTGTCATCCAGGATGGAATGCAATGGTGCGATCTCAGCTCATTGCAACCTCTGCCTCCCAGCTTCAATCAATTCTTCTGCCTCAGCCTCAGAAGTAGCTGGGATCACAGGCACCTGCCACTACGCTTGGCTAATTTTTTGTTTTTAGTAGAGACAGGGTTTCACCATGTTGGCCAGGCTGATCTTGAATTCCTGACCTCAGGTAATCCACCCGCCTCGGCCTCCCAAAGTGCTGGGATTACAGGCATGAGCCACTGTGCCTGGGCAGGCCTATTTATTTTTATTTATTATTATTTTTTTAAGGCTAGTCAAGTGAAGCAGAGGGAGTAGAGAAGGAAGAAAGAAATCTGTAACTGGTTGTGATCAATTAGTTGTAAACACCACTGCACTCAGACCAGCCTAAAGGAGTGAATTTCTAATGGTGAAATTTCAGGCTTAGGCAGTAGCAGGCTTGGGTATCTGGAAGTGTTTGTGTTGCACAGATTCCATCACAAATTTCTCTGCCTTAATGTATGGTCAGTCAGGTCCTTGTGTTGACTGGGTAAAGCCCCCAGCAGGTCATGGTGTTAGTTCCCAAAGTCATTCTTCTAAAAAAAAAAAAAAGCCAGACATGGTGGCTCATGCCTGTAATCTCAGCACTTTGGGAGGCTGAGGCAGGCAGATCACCTGAGGTTAGGAGTTCGAGACCAGCCTGACCAACATGGTGAAACCTTGTCTCTACTAAAACTACAAAAATTATTTGGGCATGATGGTGGGTGCCTGTAATCCCAGCTACTTGGGAGGTTGAGGCAGGAGAATCTCTTGAACCCGGGAGGTGGAGACTGCAGTGAGCTGAGATGATGCCACTGCTGACACTATCTCAAAAAATGAAAACAAAAACAAACAACAAAAGTATCCCAACAAAACAAAAACAAAAAACCAGGGCTGCTTCTGCTCAATAATGTTCTATGTTTGTTCCGCCTCTTCTCTAGGGTCTCACTTCTTAGGAGCCTGTGTGGAGGTGAATTCCTCTGAAAGCTGACTGCCCCTATTTGGGACTCCCCAGTCCCTTTCTGAGAAATGGTGACATTGTTCCCAGCACTTCCTCTCCCTTCCTAGGCAGCTCCTGCAGCCACTGCTGAGCTCTTCTCAAATCCTCCTTCTTGAGGCTTGGGCTTTCCACCTTTCCCCATTCCCCTACCCTACCCTGCTCCACCCCACTCTGGGGGAGGGGGCTGGTCTGGGCACTCTTGTCACTGGCCAGGCTGAGCCTCCCTCCATCCCTAAGCTGCCTGCTTCCCAGGGAACATGCTCAGGCAGCAGGCTGTGTGTGGCTCTGATTGGTTTTCTGGCCATCAGGAACATGTCCCAACATGTTGAGCTCTGGCATAGAAGAAGCTGGTGGCTATTCTGTCCTTGGGGCTGGCTGTTTTCAGGTGAGGAAGGGGATGGTAGGAGACAGGGGACCTCCAGAGACCTCAGGTAGACCTTGGCCCCTTTCTCTGAACAGGGTATGTGATCTGCCGGCAGATCCTTGGGACAGGGCTGGGATCTGGTGTATGTGTGCTTGTGTGAATGTGTGCTGGGAGTCAGATTTTGTGTGTGACTTCTAACAACCTGCTCCCTTGCCTGCTGCAGGGCAGAGGTCCTCCCTTAGAGAGTGTCTGGCTACACATTCAAGTGCATGGTTGCAAACTTTTTTTTTTTTTAAGCACTGAATAGTACTAGATACTTAGTAGGTACTGAATATATTGAATATTGAATGTGGTGGTGAGCCAGAAGTTATAAAAAAATTGTTTCCCAAAAACAACAACACAAAGAATTATTTCATTGTGAAGCTCAGTACCACAAAACTTTAAATAATTCATTACAGGCCTTTATAAAAAAAATTTTCCCCCAAAATAAACAGACAGACTATGTCTCGTCTATTTGAAATGCCTGAAAGCAGAGGGGCTTTAAGGCAGTGGGAGGAGGTGCCTGTCCTCTGCTGGACATTTGATAACTTTGGATGGCTTGGATGTACAAGGGGGAAGGTGGAGACAGCAGTGGGTCTGAGAGTGGGGTCCTGAGGCCGTGCCATGGACTTTCTGGGCTTTAACCACAATCCTGGCCTGACTCCAGGGCCAGGCAGGCCAAGGGGATCTGCTCCTGTGTCCTCCGACCCCTACCTGGGCTCCCATCCTCACAGTGGAGGAGACAGAAGCCTCTCCTCCCTGAGGTCAGCTATGTTAGAGGAAGAAAATTTGCACTGGACACATTTTTCCCACAAAGTGGGCCTCAAGTTTTCCCCTCAAAGTGGGCCTCACATTTTTCCCTCAAAGTGGGCCTCAAGTTTTTTCCCTCAAAGTGAGCCTTTCTTAGTTGGAGAATGACTTGGCACTCCCCAGGAGGAACGGCACTGTCAGAATGAACCCCCTTTCTGGCCCACCACTGACCCACTATGGCAGGCAAGGATTTACTCAATGTAGCTGAAAAGATCAGGAGGATGACATTAATAAATAAAAATCCATAAATAATAAAAAACGATGTGCAAAGAATTATTTCGTTGTGAAGCTCAGTACCACAAAACTTTACAATTCATTACAAACCTTTATTAAAAAAAAAAAAAAAAAAAAAAAGGCTTTGGACATGCCTGGGCAGAGATTTCCAGACTCAGCAGCCTGAGATGTCAGTAATTGTAGCTCTCCAAGCCTGGGTTCTATTTTTTAGTGCGATTTATTTTCAGATTAACAATCCATCCTCTGCAATTTTTTCAAAGCAAAACAAATGTTTCAGGCACAGAAAGGAGGCAAAGGTGAAGTCCAAGGGAGGTCACAGGTATGGGGTAGATGGGAGCAGATAGACACGTTACTCATTTCTGTGTCCGTCAGAAGCACCAGTAGACACTTCCAGAATTATCCTTTATTTATGTCATTTCAATAAACTGTCTGCAAATGAGGGTTATTGGGTATTTTTGTCATCCTGGAGCCACAGAAATAAAGGGTGACAAGCAGAGAGCCTTGGGCAGGAGGCAAAAGTCCTGTGTTCTAACCATAGTCATTTCTTTGCTGCATGATCTGAGTCAGGTCACTAGACTTTTCTGAGCCTCAGTTTCCCCAGCATGTAGATGGGCCATGTGGGGAGTATTTAGGAGACAGACAACTCACTCATCAAATCCTCCGCTTCCTGGCCAACAAAGCTGCTGCAATCACAGTGTTCTTCTGTTGAGGTGAGTGTACGGTGTACGGAGATTGGTTCAATGTCCAATTCCTCCTCGGTTTTCTGATAGTGTCTCCAATTCCCTCCTTCCTGGAAGCATGTGACAACAACTTTGTATACTTAAGTTCAGTGGACCTTCTGTTGCCTCATCTGTGAACTAAAGAGGACTGAAAAATCATTCTGGCCTCAAGATGTTTTGTTGGGGTGTCTAGGTGCCCCAGGTGTGTCTGGGAGAGGTGACCTAATGAGGGATCAATGGGAATAGAGGTGGTATCGTGGAGCTTTTCTGGAAATTGCAGAGAGTTGCATTGTTTTTATTATTTATGGATTTTTATTTACGAATGTCATCTTCCTGATCTTTTCAGCTGCATTGGGTAAATCCTTGCCTGCCATAGTGGGTCAGCGGTGGGCCAGAAAGGGGGCTCATTCGAACAGTGCCCTCCTGGGGAGTGCCAAGTCATTCTCCAACTAAAAAAGGCCAGATTTGAGGCTCACTTTGTGGGAAAAATGTGTCCAGTGCACCGACGCACGTTAGAGACAACGGGAGGAGGGAAGCGCCCTCCTGCAGCACGCGAGGTTCCGGGACCGTCTGGGGCTGCTGGAACTCCGCCAGGCTCAGCTGGCTCCGGGCTGGGCAGCCAGGGCCCCCGGCATGGGGGAGGGCGGTCCAGGGGCGGCGCGGTAGGCCGAGCGCGGGTCCCGCCCCTCCTGGGGGTAGGTTATATTAGCGCCAGCAGAGAGGCACCAGTTGAGGTGTGAGCAGCTGCGGGAGTCGGTTCCTTGTGGGGTCAGAGCTGGGCGCGGATTCGCCGAGGCACTCAGAGGAGGTGAGGGAGCGGCGGCAGCCAACAGGGGACCCCAGGCCGCTGGCCCAGAGCCGAGCCTAGCGTGCCTGCCTGTGTCCGTGCGTGTCGCGGGGATGCGTGTCCGCGGGTGTGTGCTGCGTTCACAGGTGTTTCAGCGGCAGGTGAATGACGGGCGTGGGTCTTTGCGCGCTCGGCTTGCGCACACGGTGTCTGTAAAGTGCTTGCGTGACGGGGGTCGGGATGTGTCAGAGACTCCGGGCGGAGAGCGGGATTACAAGTACAGGGATCCCGGGCCACCCTCCCCGCCCCTGGAAACCCAGCTGGGGCGAGGGAGGGCGTGGACGGGGCCGCTCTGGGAGCTCGCCCTCGGTAGCGGTGGGCTCCGAGCCCCAGGCGCAGTTTGCTCCTGGCATGGGAATGAAGTCCGTGTCCCTGGAGGAGTCCAGGAGGGGCGAGGAAGGTGTAGTGGAGTAAGTTCGTCTGGGATCTGTCCCGGGCGGTTCTCGTACCCAAGCGGCGCCGCCCTGGCCCACGTCCCGGGGTTCAGGTCCTCTACGCCACTGTGTCCACCATCTGGCTGGGCGCTGAAGTAAGTGCGGGCTGTTTCCCGGCCCTTGGGAATGTGCCAGGACACGTCCCTTAAGGACCAGCGAGGAGCTGACT